TTGCTGTACAATAAAAAAGATGAAAGGGAAGAAAGCCAACCCCAAACAAATATTAAGATATTAAGATAAAGAATGAATTGTTAAACTTTAAAGAATAAAAGAGAACAAATAGCAATAAATAGCAATAATTAGAAACACACATACAAACATACAACGTATTTTCTTTGAACAGAGTATTTGGCCGGTTCACAAATTTAAACAGTTGTAGGAGGTTAGCATCCACCCCTTTCCTAGAAGAATGAAATATTTTGGGAAATATTAAAAAGGCAGAATATTGTATTTCCCTACCTGGATGAGAAATGGAGAAGCATATTTTACAGACAAAGCAACTCCCACCTTCCTGCCCCCCACCCTTTGTTAATGGGCCAGAGGCAGAAACTCAATCCTTTGTCAAAGGACATTTGCAACACAATAGCAACAGAAACTAACACAATGGGCCCCATCAAGCCATGTGATCCTGTCCACCATTAAACCATCTTTCCAAGCAGTCTCCATGTTTCCAGTGTCTTTTTCCCCACTTGGAGCAGAACCCAGAAGGATATTTCTTCCAACACAGTATTTAGTCATTTCAATTAAATTTACAATTTTTATATTTCCTTTTTACCATATTTATTCCTCATCTATTTTTTAAAAAACCAATATTACCCTTCATCCTCATCTCTAATCTTAATCAAATTCAATTTTTCCCTTCTATTCTATATTATACCCCTTCCCATTGTCATCTATTTTTATATCCATCCTCACATTGGTTAATTATGTAATACAGTTGTTTAATACAAATTCAACATTTTAATATAAATCAATTAGTTATATAGCTACCTTTTTTGTATATTAATCAATATGAACATGAATATTCCAGTTATTTCCATGCAATCCAATTTCTTACAAATCAATTAATTATATTTACCAATAATAATAAACCAAATAATTTCCCCCATATATTCCTCCAAACCACAACTTAACCATTTCTGCTTTCAACACAATATACAATTAATAGTATCTCAATTATTACAATTCCCTAGTTAAATAGAGCTTTTTTTCTTCTGTGTTTTAAAATCTTGAACCTCCTCTTGCCCTAAATTTCCCATTGTTTGCAGTTTGCACCTACCTTTTTTGGTGAGGAAAAAGAAATCTCTCTGCCTCATTTTGTCATGTTGCAGCCAAGATCCTGCTTACTTTCAATTTCCCTTTCTCAGCATAGCTGGGGGGGGGGAAATCTGCTCCAGGAATTGACCTCTTTGCAGCTAGCTAGCAACAGAGCCCTCCGCAAAACAGCTGAGAGTAGGGCGGCTCTTTGAAGCCCCGCGGCAAGAATTTAAAGTTTTTTTCCCCTCTAGCCATCAGCTGGGACTCCGGAGGCAGCAATAGATTGGGAGTGGGCGGGGTAAGCGAACGGCGATCCAGCAAAGGGTGAGGGTGAGTGAAGGAGTGGGGGGGGGGGAGAGAGGGCTTTGGCGACCCCTGGGAAATGGCCGTTCGACCCCCAAAGGGGTCGCGATCCCCAGATTGAGAACCGCTGAGATAGGTATTCTTGCCTTGGATATTTTTAAAGCCTTTGATTCTATACAATGGGATACTATAAAATAAATGATTTCTGCATTAGGATTTGGTAATAAATTTATTCATATTATTTCCAAATTGTACCAGAGGGGTACGGCAAGAGTGAAGGTAAATGGTATATTTACACAAGATATAAATTTGGAAGCAGGGACAAGACAGGGTTGTCCCCTGTCTCCGATCCTATTTTTATTAGCAATGGAAATTTTAACAACTTTGATTGAAGAGGATTCAGAATTAATAGGTTATAAAGGCGTCAAAGTTCATTTATATGCAGATGACACTCTTGTCATTTTAAATAATATTACAAATGATATAAAAAGTGTTCAAATACATTTGGAAGAATTTGAAGATATGACTGGTTTGAAAGTAAATTGGGTAAAATCAGAATTATTAATGGAAATTGATAGGGAAAATAAATTAGAAAAATTACAAAATCAATTTGGAATTAGGATAAAGGATAATTTAAGATATTTAGGTATTATACTTTCACTTAAAATTAAAAATTTAAAGAAACTAAATTATGACATAGTAACAAAAGAAATTGAAGAGAAAATTGGGAAATATAAAAAACTTAAGTTATCTTGGTTTGGTAGAGTAGCCTTATGTAAAATGATGTTACTTCCTAAATTTAACTTTTTATTCGAGATGCTTCCGATTTTTTTAACCGAGAAGGACATTGAAGTATATAAAAAAAAATTAGATAAATTTTGTAATGGGGATAAAAAACCAAGATTGATTAAGAAAATGTGGTATCAGAACCAAAAACAAAGTGGTTTAGGAATTCCAAAATTATTAAACTATTATAGAGCATTTAATATAAAAACAGTAGTAAAAATTTTAAAAGGAGATGTTAAACTTTGGGGTAATTTGGAAATGAAGGAAATAAAGAAGTTTGGTTACAAATGGTTTTTGGAAAATTTTAAAGGTAAGGTTAAAATTTGTAATTATTGGTTAAATAGTCTGACTAAAAATTGGGACAGAGTAGCAAAAAAATTAATACCAGACGTATTGTATTTAGGTAAACTGAAAGAGAATTGCCCAATGAAATTAAATAGTAACAGAGAGAGGATTATAATAGAAGAGAAAGTGGAAACAATTAGTGAATGGTTGAAATTTATAGAAAATGAAATGAGGAAAGAGGAAATTTATGGAAAATTAAACATTAATTGGTTTGAAAGAATTCAAATGAAGAAATGGAATAGGAAATGCAAAGAAAGGAATGATGAGAGTAGAAAGGAAACGGAATTTGAAAATTTGACAACTCGAATAATAAAAGATGAAATTGGGCCAAAGGGATTAGTTAGTAAAATTTATAAAATTATTAACTTTGATAATAATTCACAAAGGGTAATGAAAGAGAATTGGGTAAAAGAACTGGGTATTGAAATTTCTGATCAAAATTGGAATATGAACTGGGTTAGTAGAATAATGAGGACATTATCAATAAGGATTAAAGAACATAACTATAAAGTCATTTGGAAGTGGTATTTGACCCCAATAAGACTTTTTCAAATGGATAATAAAGTGGATAAAATGTGTTGGAGATGTAAAGTGGAACTCGGGACATATGCTCATATGTGGTGTAAATGTAATGGGGTTGAACTTTTTTGGTTTAGGATAGAAAATGAAATATTTGAAATTATTAAGAAAAGGGTCAAATTGAAATTGGAAACCATATTATTATTAATATTGAATAAAACAACATTAACAACTGGAGAAAGAGAATTGGTGAGGACTTCAGTTATAATGGGGAGAATTATAATTGCTAGATATTGGAAATTAAATGTTGACTTAAAATTAGAAGAATGGTACAATGAAACATGGAAATTTGCATTAAATGATAAATTGACTTGTGATATTAAAATTAGAAGTGGTATATATATAGAAAATGTTTTTTGGAACACTTGGCAACCATTTGTGGACTTTGCACTTGGGAGATTGGATGAATCGGCACCAGTACCTTATCAAAGAGATTTCTGGAAGAATTGAAGACTTCAAGTTCCTAAAACTTCCTTTCCGTTTGTATAGCACGTTGGGGGAAATTTTTTTTTCTTTCCTTACTATTGATTTTTTGTATTGATTTTTTTTCCTTTTTGTTATTCTTTAACAATAAAAATATAATAAAAAATTTAAAAAAAATTCTTATGTATTTTATAACTATTAAACAATAAGTAGCCATATTCTTGGAATTTAGTAGGTTTATCTTCCTTATTTACAGTACCTAAATGGGATATAGGCAATTTCACACATTATATAGTAGTAACAGTATATGAAACTTGTGTAAACATCTGTTATGGATATTCACTGATTTAGGGACTGTAGGCAACTATAATTCCCAGGTTTGATAGATTATGTTTATAAATAATTTTGCTGATTTACATTTTAGATGAGTATTTAAAATGTCTTAAATGTATTTTCAACTATAAGAAATGGGAATTGCTTTTTGTTAAAGATAAAATCTTCATTGCAGATATCTAAAAAGCATTTTTAGAAAGGTTGCTAGCATTTTAAAATGTCAGGATGAAAACAAGCCACCTGTATTAATCTTGTTTCTTTTAAGTGTTGCAATGAGATATGCTGCCACTGAAAGAGAAATAGAATATGGCAATATTAGCTTGGGAAAACATATTCCACTTTCTATTTGAGTTATACTTGGGATCTTTCAGAACCATTCTGCTACGAATTCTAGTGCAAATTCATAAACTTTGTCAAGTCTGCTGCTTTCTCTTATTTTGTATGGACAGATGGGATACTTGAGAATATAAAGTTACAATGCTTGTAGAAAAAGAATATTGATTGAATTGAATTGGATCTACAGTTGCCAACCATGTTTTATAATCTGTGTTCATAAATATGTGTTGGGGTACATATTGAGATAACTTTTCAGGTAGTAAATGCTGACTGTGTGACTTTTCTGCCCCCAAATTCTGTATCATGTAGTTTCATATGTTCAATGCGCGTTTATTAGAAGTCCTTCATTTTTTCAAAAATGTAATAACTATATTTTTCTTTAATGGCATGGAGCTTTCTGTTTCCAACAATCTCTCCTTTTTGGATATGAAGGACCATGCTGGGAAGTATAAAGCGCAGTAGGTAGCTAAGCTTGATTTAGTTTCTGCTAGCAGGGGTCTTCTGTGATTTGTGACAAATTGTTTTTCCCCCCAAAACTTCTAAACCTTCTTGTCCCAGAAATGTGGTGTGGGTGGACTCCCTGGTAAATGCATTAAGGAATGGGTTGAATATGCTATCCAGTGTAAATCCAACTTGCATTTAATGATTTAGATTCCTTCGCTTTTTTTTAGGAAACTTTTTTCATAACTACACATGTGCTTGCTTCTTTAAAGGGCTGGGAAAACTTGTAAAGAAAACTTTGATTGAATGCCATAGCTGGGTTAAAAGTTTCACTTCTTTCTTTCTCCAATTTGTCTTTTCCTCCCTAGAGGATGAAAGTCCTGGACAAACCTATCACAGAGAGAGAAGAAACACAATTACAATGCAGCCACAAAGTGGACAAGGCCTCAGTAAAATCAGTGAAGAACCTTCCACATCTAGTGAAGAAAGGGCTTCTTTAATCAAAAAGGAGATCCATGGATCTGTATCACACTTTCCTGAGCCTTCAGTACCTTATCGTGGGACAGTCTTTGCCATGGATCCCAGAAATGGCTATATGGATCCTCCTTATCGTAAGTGCTTAGAAATTACAACATATTCATTTTTGTTAAAATCATATGAGAAAGTTTTACTACCTCTTATTTTCCCTAGCATTTTCCCTAGCAGCAGTATTTTAATCCTGCTGCAAAAAGGTTCATATATATATAAGTTGATTATATATACCAATTACAATTCGGTTTTGAGAAAGTGAAGGTGGTAGTCAGAGAAGGAGAGAAGAAGAAAGAATTTACAGTTAATAAAAGATGCATATTCCAAAATGTTTTCTGAATAAGTTGAGTTCAATCGTTCTTTGCTACATTGTGTCCTTACGCTGCTCGTGTTTAATCCTAAAAACTGTACAAGAAATAAAAAGAATTTTTATATTCTAACTTTCTTAGATTTACTAGCATGCAGAAAGCAGGACATGATAGGAAGTATTAAAAAGTGATGTCTTTTTCTTTCACAAAAATTGAAGAGGATTCTTTGACATGTTATTTTTTTATAGTGATGGAAGTGTGCCGACAAGGACATTGGCTCTACTCCCAACTATAATATAACAAAAATGGCAGAACATTATGAATTGCAACTTTGGAATTCTTTTTTTTTTTTCTTATTGAAAAAGTTTTTCAAATACAAATTTTTTCCCCCTTTCCCCCCCCTCCTCCCTAACTCCCCCTCCCCCTCCCCTCCCCCTGTGGCTTCTCCAAAATAAAACCCAAGTTAATAACAGATTATATAATACTTTACCATCCTTTTACTCCACCCCCCATATACTGACCCTTTCTTTCTAACAATATTATTATATCCCCCTTATACTATACATTTCAAAGCAACATTCAACTGTAAAATTATATAATAAATCCTAATTTAGCAATTTCATCTATTCAGCTCACAATCTATCCATTTCCTCCTCCCCCATGCATATATCTCTTAATTCAAATCTTTTATGTATATTAATATAGCATAACATCCCTTTTCCTAAACTAAACAATCAGTAAGCTAACCTATCTCCACCCTTCTAACAATATTATTATATCCCCCTTATACTATGCAAAGCAACATTCAGCTGTAAAATTATATAATAAATCCTAATTTAGCAAAATCTTTTACGTATATTGATATAACATAACATAACATCCCTTTTCCTAAACTAAACAATCAATAAACTAACCTATCTCCACCCACTTTCCTACAGGTCTACATACATAATATTTTCAATATCTTTATTCTTCTGCCCACACCACTAAAAAATATTTACATATATATATATAAAATCCTCAAATGACTTTAAATTTGTAATCCATATGATATCTTCTGTAATGTCTCTTAACTGGATTGTTAATTCCATTACCCATGTTAGGGTAACATCACATCCTAATTCCAACAGTATGTTCGGTATCTTCAATTACCATCTGCCCCCATCGATAGTAAATGTTTTCATATATAAAAAACCACCCGAGTGACTTTATATTTATATTCCATATAGTGTCTTCTATAATGTCTTCCATCTAAATTATTAATTCCAACCATTGTGTTAGGGTAACAGCCAGATCTTCTGCATGCCCCAATCCCATAGTTCTCTTGCCTTATAGCTCAACATAAACGTAATCCATTTGTCAGAGTCCAATATAGAAAATTCCAATCCACTCAATTTAAGGCCATCTTCCACATCCCAGAAGTACAGCACTGCAGAGATCTGTCACTCTCATCAAAATAGTATAAACCAATACTTTGCCTCAACTATATTTTCATATATTCAATCGTCTCTTACGTAACTGGCAGCAACTTTGGAATTCTTGATCAGGCAGTAACATACAGTTAAAAAGTTAAGTGACCCCTGGGCACAGATGTTAGTGATTGTTATACAAGTAACTTCCAATTAGAAACAGATGAGAAAACCCCACACTTTAAATGTCTCTACACTCTGTGCCTGTAAAAAAAAATATGTTTCTACATCTCGAAGACTCAGCCTCTATTTTAAGAAGATACTTAAGAAGACAAATGCACATTAGTAGCTTTCCCATTAAAATTTATTGAGCATCCTTATCTTTAAAATTTTATTATTCTGAAAAACCATTAAACAGCAAATAACCAGAATACCCTATGTGTTTATATTTATGGATAAATGTGTACTTTTTTGGGCCATAATAAAAATCACAGTTTGCTGCATTTGTATTAAGATGAAAACTAAATGGTTTTCAGAGCATGAATTTGATTTATACTCACTTGGAATGATAAATTGTTCATTAAGACTAAGTTGCAGCAAGTATAGAATGTCTCCTCCCTCCAGCTCCCAATAATTTTTATGAATTGTTGTCATCAAATATTTTCTGCTTTACAAGATCTAAAAAGATCTCAGATCTTTTAAGATCTTGTATTACAGACATCTGGTGCCAAAATATTTTTGCAGTAGTTTTCAGTTAGAGATATTTCAGATTATTATATTTTATATAATGCCCAAAAATGTTAAAATATGACCATTGTATCTGGCAGTGTTTCTTTTGCAACAGTATATATTTTTATAACTGCAAATGAGATGTATATATGTTTTAAAGCCTTTTTTAAATATGGGAAAAAAACTACTTTATCCTTCAACATTGATGTGTCTTCTTTTAAGTATTACAGTATTGTAATACTTTAAGTATTATAATACTGAAATATTACAGTATTACAGTATCATAATCAGTAAACTAAATGTAATTTTGTCAAAATGGAGATTAAGGATCAATTTATGCAAGATAATATGTGGCAAACATTGATGTGTTTCCTATCATTTGGTATCTTTGTTAGCATTTTCAACCGATACGTTAGCTGAAATGTGCCATTTTAATATGCCAAAAAAACTTCTTTTAGACTTTATATCATTGCTTTATTAATGACTGACAAAATGGATCATCACTTCATAGAAAGTGAAGGAACTTTAGATGAAAAATCATAGAGAATTTTACAACTGCTTATGTGTCTCTCCCTTAAAAAATAACATAAGTAAGTGTCTCTGTGAGATTCTGTACTATCAAAAAGTAAAGGATCTCACAATAGAAGTACAAAAAAATATATGCCACATATTAAAACTTCGTAGAGCAGCATCTTAAAAAAGATGCTATGTCTATTTCTATAAAGATCAGAGTTGTGCAGGCCATGATTTCCCCTCTAATTCTGTATGGAAGTAAAAGTTGAATTTTGAGGTTATGGGAGAGAAAGGTAATTGATGCGTTTGAATTTTGGTTTCAAAAATGATTCCTAAGGGTACCATAGATAGTCAAGGAAATAAACAAGTGGATTATAGAATAATTCAATCATTCAAACCTTAAATGATCAGGCTTAAATAATATTATAGATATATTATCTTAAGACCTACCCGTAACTCTTGAGAAGACTATAATAATGAGAAAGGTAAAAGAAATGACAATTAGCCTATTTTCCGGCATATAAAACGACTTTTTAACACATGAAAATCTTCTCAAAAGTCGGGGTCGTCTTATACGCTGGGTGTCGTTCTCCTGTAACCAGGCAGACCAGCCCGAAAGGCTCTGACGAGCCTTAAATGGCTCTGACGATCCAAGCCCTGACGATCTGCTAATCAGTCAACTCAATTGGGATTGCCAGAGCCATGGAGAAGGAAAAAACTTTTCTCCTTTCACATGGCTCTGACGATCCAAGCCCTGACGATCTGCTAATCAGGCAACTCAGCTGGGATCGCCAGAGCCATGGAGAAGGAAAAAAGTTTTCCCCCTCCAGCTTGCTTACCTTAGCTGCTTGCCTTGCTTTGCTGCCTTGCTTCGCTTGCCTGAATCCATTCCATCAGCAAGCAACTCCTTGCCTGCAATCAAGCAGGCAGGGAGGGAGTTGTAGACTTCAACTGCCAGAATTCCTCAGCCAGCAAAACAAAGTTGGCTGAGGAATTCTGGGAGTTGAAGTCTACAAGTCTTAAAGTTGCCAAGGTTGGAGACCCCTGTTTTATTGGGTAAGTTTTTTTCCCCTTTGGCATCTTTAAGAAAAAATAGTTAATTGAGGTTTTTTTTAGTTGTTCTTTTTTAGACCTAGCCATTTAAAGTTTAGGAAGTTTTAAATTTAGCTTTCATATAAAAGTAAAATAAAATAAAATAATATTTGTGCAGCTTTCTGAAATTTAGTATGTTTTTGTAGTGTTTCACTCTAACTACACAAACACACAAAATCTCACAAAGCTGTATGTGGAATTTTGTGTGTGTAAAGTGTGAAAGTTGGGTTTTTGGGCTTTTTGTGGCTGTGTGAGGTTCCTGCTTGTTGCAGGGGCCATTTTGGGTCTAGCACAGCTGCTTTTACATTGTGGGTGAGCCAGTTGTGTGTGTGTTGTGTGTGTGTAAAGTGTGAAAGTTGTTTTTTTTGGCTTTTTGTGGCTGTGTGAGGTTCCTGCTTGTTGCAGGGGCCATTTTGGGTCTAGCACAGCTGCTTTTACATTGTGGGTGAGCCAGTTGTGTTGTGTGTGTGTAAAGTGTGAAAGTTGTTTTTGGGCTTTTTGTGGCTGTGTGAGGTTCCTGCTTGTTGCAGGGGCCATTTTGGGTCTAGCATAGCTGCTTTTACATTGTGGGTGAGCCAGTTGATGTTTTTTAATTTTTATTTGGTGTGCGTTGGAAGAGGGGTAGTCTTATACGGCGAGTATAGCCCAAACCCTATATTTTAACAGGAAAATTCGGGGGTCGTCTTATACGCCCAGTTGTCTTATACGCCGGAAAATACGGTAATAGGAAAACAGATGAATTCAGTAATAACAGAAATGGTCACATTGTTTGAAAACCTAAAAGTCCACACTGGGATAAATCATCATGTAAAATACTTATTTATATAGTCACTTAAACCTGAAACATCAACTTCATGGCACCTTTAAGTCTCTGAACACTTGAATAAGTCTACAAAAGGTTATGAAGGAAGCTGTAACATTTAATTTGTTACTTTGTATTATTATATAAAGATTACAGCATGTTTTCACACTTGAATTGTCACTACTGTAACAACCCATGCTCTATAAATTAAATGAAAGAAGTTGAAACAT